GACTGGTTTAAGCCAGCATCATCTAACACACATTTAACCATGGTTTGTAGCAAACCATTCTTCCTTTCAGAGACTCCATTTTGGAATGGGGAAAATGGACAAGATTTAAAGTGCAATATTCCTTGTGATTTTAGCCAAGTTGAAAATTCGTTGGATAGGAATTCCGACCCCCTGTCAGTCATTATTTGTTTGATTTTGGTATTGTGTTGTGTTTCTACCATTTTAAAGAACTCCTTAAATTTTTTGAAAACCTCACTTTTGTGGTTAAGGGTGTATACAAAACCAAATCTACTATAGTCATCGACTATGGTCAGGAAGTATCTTTTTTTGTATTTAATTGAAGGTTTTAATGGGCCTACTACATCCATATGAATTAGTTAAAAGGTTGATTGTGTGGTGCGAGTGGCTTTTTTGGGTTTTGGCTTGTTTTTAATTTTGGAAGAATTGCACACAGAGCATTCTAAGTAATTTTTACAGTTCTTTATTTTTAAATCTTCGGAACACTCTAACATTTTTCGTATGACTGGAAAGCTCGCGTGTCCTAGCTTTCTGTGGAGTAAGTGACTACAATTATCGTGAATAGGTTTTCCATTGTTTAAATTTTCAGACATATTAGTATCAGTGTTTGATGCATTCTTATCATTATTTTCATCATGGCTATCTGAATTTGGTTTTTCGTTTCTTAATTGATAGTTTGCATAGACTAGTTCGTTATCTTGTGGCAGTAGGTATGTTAGTCCATCATTTGTAAATAGTTTACCTATGTTTCTGTTGTTCTTAGTCATGAATACCTTTCCACCTCTGAAAGTGGTTCTATTGCATTCTCTATGCTTAACTTTAGGGTTGCCAATATGTTATTTGGAATTTCGGGCACAAATAGTACCCCCTCTATTTTTCCTATACCTTTTATATGCGTGTCTCCTATTCCTCTCACTAGGACTCTATTTTGGTTTGCTACTTTAATATAATATTTCTTTTCAGTGAAGTTACTTAATATTTCTCTATTATGAGTTGTATGGCATGTGGCTCCTGAATCTATGAGCCAGGTGTTGAGTGAATCAGATATCAAAGTGTTATTATTTCTTATTCCATATAGTGATCCTTTCTTATTTTCTCTAGGGTTATTTCTGTATGTTTGTCTTTCTCTAGAGTGTGGTGATTCTCTTCTTATACCTGTAATCTGGGGAGGTTCTGTCTAAAAAGTGTATTCTTCTATCCTTGTGTTTATATGAGTCACTGTATCCTATATTCTTGGGGCAGTCTCTACTCTGATGTCTTTCAGATCCACATGTGAGACATTCATGTGGGTATCTGTCTCTGGCCCTGAAATCAGTCCTTCTTTGATTTCTACCTTCTCTTTGTTGTGTATATCGCTCTCTTCTAAGTCTATCTTCAGTAATAAGCTTATTGGTAAGGTTTTCTAAAGTAATTTGCTCTATACTTAGGTTATCTATTAGTGTAATGTAGTTATCCCAGCTGTGATCTAGTGAGTTAATTATAATGCTTTTCATGGTGTTGTCAGAAATGGTTTCTCCCCTTTGAATAAGGTCTGCTCTTACAGCGTTTAAATTCAAGATATGCTCACTCATGGATGTATCATGTTTTAGTTTGGCAGAATAGAATTCCCTAGAGATTTTTGTGGTAGTGGCTACATTTTTGCTATAGAACAGTCTGAATAATTTTTGATATACTTCAAATACAGTTAAATTATGCTCTATACTGGGGAGTATACTTGGGGAAATAGAAACAATTAACATATAGTATGCTTTGTGGTGGAGGCAGTCTATTTCATAGGTCCAAGGCTTATTTGGTGGGTTATCAATAAAAAATAAAACATTTTCTTTCATATATACAATCTGTAAACACTGATCCCATTCCATTAAGTTGCTTCCATCTAATTTCAATTTTATAAAGTCTGGAGGTATTGTCCCTGAGTGTAGTGAGGTGTTATTCATGTTTAGTAGCTGTCCATGGTTTAAGACCTTAGCATACTCACAATAAGGTCTGGGGATGGTAGATGTATGTCTGTATTTACTTATCTCTATGTTGTCTTGACTTGTATCTATGTTTCCTTTTTCCTTTTCTGCAGGCTCTTTCTGGGCATGCTCAGTCTTCATTTTCTTCCAGCAGTCGGCGAGGGAGGTTCCTTTGTTTGCAGCTCCCGGGGTGATGTCCCAGACGGCCTTCCGTTGTTCTGTTTTGTCTCCGGAGGGCCTCTGGTGGCTGGAAAATGCCTGGGATGCTGCTCTGCTCGTCGTGGAGTCTCCGGAGTTGCGAGGATCGGGGGAGAAGACACTGGAGGCTTGTCGGCCATTTTCTCTGCCGCTGTTGCCGATGGAGCCGGGTTGCTCTGCGAGTCGCTCTTCGGTAGGTGAGTATGATTGCCAGCGCGTCTTTCTTCGGGTGGCTAGGTCTTTGTTTAGGCAGTCTGTTTCTTTTTGGCTTTTTGCTGATGGTAGTTTAGAATTTTCTAATTTATTTTCTGATAGTTCGTTTGGTATTTTTAGTTTAGTCCCGAGTGCTGCAGTCAGCACTTGTATAGCGTTGTCTATTTCTACTTCAGTAGGTTGAGCTTTGCTTTGTTTAAATAATTGTTTTTTATTTGTTTTTGGGCTCAGGTAGTCATCTTCTTGGTAGTTTTCGTTTTTCATTTCGTATTTTGAGGTTTGGGATTCTTTTAGTAATTGGTCGGGCATTTTAGAGGTATTAGGTGGGTAAGATGGCTGCCATAAAAAAGGCGGGAAGCTGTCGCCATCTTTGGTGTCGTTTTTGAAGTTAGGGGTTGAGTTTCTTACCTCGTAGTTTTCTTGTTTGTTATTTTCGTTATCTGCTGCTGTTCCGTGGTCTTTTATCATGCTGCGGATTTTCACAAGCAGATTTGATTCAGTTGTAGTTGTTTCTATTAATTGTAGTATTTTTCTTTTTACTTCATCTTCTTTGTTTGGTGTTGAGAAGGGTTCTTCTGCTTCAGCTAGTGGTTGTTCATTTTGCGTTAGCTGTTCATATTCTTGTGATTGCGTTTGTTTCTTCATGTTTTCAATTGGTGTATATATGTCAGGGGTCAGCTGGGCTGCCATTCTTTTTGTTGTGTATCTGGTGGCAGGTCTTCTTTTTCTTTTTGTGAGTCTTGCATCTTTATGTTTGGTTGGGCCTACCAAACCATCCTCTTGCTACCAATTTGTTGCTAGTTTGGTTATCCTGGTTAGGCCCATATATAAGAGACTGTAGACTTTCTTGTAATAGTAATATTTATTTCTTTTCTTCCTCAGGAACACAATTAGACAAGCACTAATCTGGGAGGAGCAAGAACTTATATACAGAGAAGGCGGGGCTAATGGTAAGTACTAACCAATGGTAAGTGACACAATGACATCACACAATGACATATAAACAAGCACACATATTTACAGATATCAGGTTAGGTATTTTCATCTGTAACACACCCCCGAGGCCCTGCAGAGGCCGGAAACAGCCTGTTTGCCGACAAGTCATCAAACGGGCCGTTTCCGGCCTCCGGAGGGCCTCCGGGGGGGGGGGGTGAGGAAGGCTGTTTTTGCCCTCCCCAGGCTCCCAGAAAGGTTCCGGTCCCACCGGAAGTTGGCAAATGGGCTGTTTCCGGCCTTCAGAGGGCCTCGGGGGGAGGCTGTTCTCATCCTCTCCAGGCTCCGAGAAAGCCTCTGGAGCCTGGGGAGGGCGAAAAATGGGCCTACCAGGCCCACCGGGCCATCGCATGTCAAAAGTGGGAGGAAAGCAGGGGGGTCGCACTTGCGCACTTGATTATAAGACCTCCAAGGTCCCTTCCAACTCTGTTATTCTAAATATGGATCCAGTCCCACCTTGGGTAAGTTAAAATCTATCCCAACTTGCCTCTGATTTGGGTGTCACCCTGAGCCAGAACATGATAGTCACTAGATTTGTGAAGTGGTAGGGGAAAAAAACCACTACCATTTATTAAATAAATTCTCAACTCTGTGAAAACTTTGTTACAATCTGATCTTTAGTACAACCTCTGCTATGTTCAGTGACACTTAATTTGTGGAAGAATTGCAGGTTTAAGGAGGGGACACTGGAAATGCTTGTATATTTGAACTACTTTTTTATATATTCCAATGAAATTATATATTGTGCTCAGTTCCCCACTGCAGGGTGAAAGGAATTTTATTTGTTATATATGTGAATGCCTCTTGTGCCAAAGTATAAGAGATCCTGAATGGCAGCATCTTAAATGATGTATCTCACTAACATAAAGGAAATGAAAATAAATATTTCAGAGGTAGAAAATGTGAAATAAATATATCATAATGTTGTAGAAAAGTTTTTGACCATTTTCTGATTACTTTAATCTTATGGAATACTGAAAATAAATCCTAAAGTACCAGTAATTCATAGACCAGTTTAAGAATCAGTGAAAGGTTGAAATAGTCTGCAAGGAAAACAAACAAAGCTATAAATTGCTTTAATTGGGCTTTGCACGTTCTTTGACAAATAAATAAAATTGTCCATAACTTCAGTACTATATACAAATACTCTCAAATGTACCTCTCTACTTCTCATTTTTAAAATATTTAGACAAAAATGTATATTGAAAGGAATTTGGAACTTATTTTGAAATGCCAGATTCAAATTTCACACGTTAAGTTTCACATGTCTGAAACACAATCTCAAAGACACAGCTGTACAAAAATACTCAGGGGAAGGTATGAAACATCAAACTGGGGGAAGGTAGGAGATATGCTGTTCCTTTAACCAACCCACATAACTTGTTTAACTAATTAATTTAGTTTGAGCTTATTTGGAGCTGAGCTATTTGCAAGAATATTTCAAGTGACAATAAAAATGGAATCCTTGTAGAGTCAGTGATATATGAATGTGATTAAAATAAATTGGATATATATATATATATACATAAACCCGAATTAGATTAAGGGCTTTAATCACAGGAAAGTATGCAAAACTGCAATATTTTTTAATGATAATAATTTAGTTGATTGTATACTTACCGCCTTAAGTCGTCGTGCATGATATTCTTCAGCTGTCACATATGGCTTTGGTTCTATAAGTTTATCAGTGATATTTGACACATAAACACCAATTTTTGTCATTTGTGTACAAGTTGTATTTGTGGTCTCTTGTAATTTTTTTCTTTCTACCACTGTCTAGAATTAAATAAAATATTAATTTTAAGAAGGTTGAGCATTCTCTATATAAACTAAGATGAATTAAAAACTAATTTGTGAATGCATTAAATTAACAAATATATAGAATTATAGAATAGAATTATTTAATTATCATCTTCTAATAGACTGGAACATATTTAACTTCCACATCAATTTTTCTGGCATGTATCTCAGGGTCTTCATTCTTTATGAACACATCTGGGCTGACCTACTGCTTCGTATTATCTGTATAAATTAATTAAAATGATCAAAAACTAATTTATGAATGCAATAAATATATAAAATTAAAGAATTAAATTATTTAAATATTAGTTTCTAATATACAGAAATAGATTTAATTTCCAAATCAATTTTTCTTGCATATATCTCAGGGTCTTCATTCTTTCTGAACATACCTGTGTTGATCTACAGAACTCTTCATATTCTTTGTCTGGACGTTTTTTGGGATCTGTCTGTGATCCTGCATTATGATATTCCGTGCCCGTTTCTTTATGTCTAAATCCACCCAAGAATGGTTTTTCAAATGATGGTCTTTTAATTTCTATACATACATCCTGAAAAGTGTCTGGCTCTGTTCAGACAAAACAGCATTATTAAATTAGACCCAACATTGGGCAACGTTTAACCAGACTATATACTGATTGTTCTTTACCTATTTGAACTCGAACCGATATAACATCAGGCATATAGTATTCTTGCAGAAGTTTGTATGCTTTGAGTGGAAAGTTTTCACTGTCTAATGAGTACATATCAAACTGTATTGTCCCTTTAGGTTGCACACCAAGATTCCAGAGAGTTTCAAAATTTTCTATTATTCTCCCTAAAAAGAAAAAAAAAATAGTTTTCACAATGAATTAAGAGGTCACTTAGCTTTGTTTTCTTTGATCATTTGAGGAATGTGACAAATCCCAAGAAAAGACTAAGGAGAACCATTTTGTGTAAGGCAACTTTCAACCTTCTCAAGTAGATAGGCAGGAATCACAATCAGGTGAGCTAATTTTATTTTATTGTAAAGCTGCATAAAAAGAATCTTGCAAGTCAGATGGTACAAACTTCCCAACATTTTTTTTACAATCTGAAAAGTTAGGCAAGGCCCATTCTGACTTTCTTTGCCCATTATGCAACTGCAGGGATGTCTCCCCCCCCCCCCCCGTCCCGTTCCCCCCGGTGATTTGAACATACTATTACAGCAACTAAATTTCTTTTAAAATTACAAAGATTTGCTTTTCCACCTCTTCCAGAAATACCTGCCATAAAATAGCCTGGGGATTCTCAAACGATTATGCTTCGGTAAGAAGGAATGGGCTGTGAATGACAACATAATGTTATACAGTGGTGGTAAATCTCAATATGAGAATAGTACCTGAAGGCCAAAATCAGTATTCACTACTCATTTAATGGCTACCTTGGTTAGCAACTGTTTGTAAATACAAAAACAATAATTTTTTAAATACCGTTTTCTGACCAATGCACATATTTAGGACCAAATTTTGTGTGACTGACAAAAAAAGCCTTCAGTGTGAATAGGATTAAGGTCTGATAAATTTCAGACAGCAGCACCAGCAGGTCAGAGGGTTCTGATCAACTAATTAAGGCCACAGAGCTGTGGCTGTTAACTTGCAGTCTGCGCTTAGGTGAATGCTATGGAGAAAAGCAGCAGAAAGCAGGAAAAAATTGTTTAAGCAATTTCTCTGCTCTGTAAAGGGACACAAAAAAAAAAAGGAAGAAAATGGGTCAGATATTGGATACTCTGGAAGAGATCTTTATCTAAATGAGACAACAGCAACCAGTGATCTTCAGAGTCTCTCTCTCTCTCTCTCTCTCTCTCATTTTCTATTTAAGGAATGTATTGTGATTACTAAATGAAAAAAGGGTAGATATTCATAATAATTTGGGGGATTTCAGTACATTATATTCAGTTTGAACAAGGCCCAATTGATGCATTTTTGTAAACTAATTTAAGGATATTCTTTATGTACACATGGATTTCTGTTGTTATTTAACAAAGTAATAATTGCTTCTTTAAATGTTACAACCATATTTGGAGCCCTGTCTATATTTATATACATGAAAAAACCAAACCCCTTGTATTGATACAAACCTAGCAACCGAATTTGTAAAACATCCAGCGGTATTTTTAATCGCTTTACAAAGTACTGCTTGATTTGCTCCACATTTTGATTAATGTTAAAAGACTTTGTGAAAATCTGGATATCAGGATGCAGCATGAATTTAACTGAAAAACAAATACATCAATTCTTATTATGGTCCTTCATTAATTTCATTATTAGTTTCTAGTCAATTAGTAAGAATTAAATTTTGCTTGTGCATATTTTTGCCTCTTCAAAAGAATTAGAATCATTTTGTTAAAGCAAAAAATTAAGTAAAATTTATTTAATATGCAGTTATATGATGCAAATCAGCTCTGGATGGTAAGCATAAAACCAAATTAAATAGAAAAAGACAAATATAGTGAAAACAAAAAATAAACATTTCTTAATCAAGCAAACCAAACACAGACTAAGCCCGCATAACATCCAGGCCCTAAGGCTGTGATGACGAATTTATGGCACCCGTGCCAGAGGTGGCACACAGTGCCCTCTCTGTGGCCACGCGAGCCATCACCCGAATTCAGCTTTGCTACGCATTCGCACACTTCTCCTGCTGGCCAGCTGGTATTCAGGTCTCTGCCGCGCATGCACAGGGGTGGGGCATGTGCTGGGGGCCATGTGCGCATGCAGAGGGCGTGCGGGGGGTGCATGCATGCACTGAGGGGGGTACATGCTGGGGGCATGCACATGCAGGCGGAGGGGCACATGTGGGGGCCCATGTGCGTGTGCACAGGGCGCATGCTTGGGGCTGCATGAGCATTGCATTTTGGGGGTGCATGTGTGCGCTTTGGCCACTCAGTTCGGAAATGGTTAGCCATCATTGCCCTAAGGTCTGAGAAAAGAATTAAGTTTTCAAAGACTTCTGAAAAACCAACAAGATCAGGGCAGTCCTAATCTTGGGGAAAGGCTGTTCAGTATGGCAGGAGCCATAACAGATAATGTACATTGCTTTCTCAGTTCCATAAAATGAGATTGTGTCATAGAAGCAGTGAAGCAAGAACAGGCCTGTTTTGTTGGATTACAAAGGATGGACAGAAACTGCCCCTCCGATGCTCCATTCGGGCCTCCAGAGACCTCGCCCAGCACATTGCAGGCCAAAATGGAGCTTCCGAGGGGCGGATCCACCCCTTGGAAGCTCCATTTTGGCTGGCAATGTTCAGGACGAATGTTGTAGAGCCTCTGCGGTTGTTTGTAAGGGCAAACAACTGCCATGGTGCTGGAAGATTTGTAGCTTCTGGACTTGTTCGTAAATGCTACGGGGCGTTTATCGCGTAACTTTGAACGTTCGCTAATGCTCATAACCTGGGGATTACCTGTAAAGGAAGAATTATTTATAAACACTTTTCCCAAAGTAGTGTTCTCTAATTTGTTCAGCCTGTAATTGCCTGAATTTCCAGTGAGATGAATTGGGGAAGACTGACTGCTATATCAAACATAATATATACCTGTTACGATAGCACTTTTTATCATTTCTGAAAGCTGAGCTGCCAAATTTTCCATGTTTATGCCTTCTGGAACAACAGCTGCTAAATCAGGATGCTGTTCAGAAACACCCTCACTGGCACCTGTACTTTCAGATGCTGTTGCATCCGTCTCAATTCCGGTTGGTTTAATTTCGTGATCAAAATCTTGGAAATGTGAAACATCTTCCTGAAAATCTGGGAGTTTTGCATCAAATTCTGTTTGTGCTGTGTCCAACTCCAATGCCAATTCTTCAGCAACAGCCACACCCGCAACTACCTCTTCCTCTCTGCCTGGTTCCTTGGCTGTGGTTTGATCTTTTGCAGAATCTAACCTCTGTAACTGCTCCTCAGCAATACCTGCATCCTGTACTGGTTCCTGACTAATGTTCAGGTTCTCAAATGCATCTGGCCTTTGTACTTGTTCTACAGCAGCATCCTGCTCTTGCATTGGTTCCTCAGCAATACCCAATTCTTGTGTTGTTGAATCTATGTTGTATTCTTGCTTTAAAGGTAGACCTGTTTCATTCAAGGGGACTCTATCTGTCTGCTCCTTGTTAGAATCTGCAACATCTGTAATTTCTTCTGTTTGCTTTTCTGTAGAAGTGACTTCCACATCTCCTTCAGCCAGATCAATCACCTCTTTTTCTGAATCAGCCATTTGCCTGAAAGGAATGACATAAAAAGCAAAATGTACAGGAAACGAGATTTTAAATTTAAGCAAATTGTCAGTATGCAGTCTCAATTGACTAATTGTCTTCATACTCTTAGACAGACTATGAAACTAGCTGTAACTCAACACCCCCTTCCCACCCACCCCAAAAAAACCCTTCAGACCAAACACATCTGAACGTTGTCATTTTAACTATAGACTTGTGCATTTAAAATTCAGTATCACAATTTAACCATTTGAAATGAAACTGATAATGCTTGTAACATATTGCCTTCAAAATATAATGGCCTGCAAATGATATCCTGCTAACATTCCCAAGAGCTCAACTTTTCTGGAGATTATCAGTTTGAAAACATTGATTTATAATTTTATCTATGCATAGTTTTGTTTCTTGTTGATTTCTTGTTTTACTCTTTATTGTTTTATAAAGAATCAGTTCTTTTTAAGCCCATTTTTCATAAATAGTATCTGAGAAGTAACTATCCTTATATTAACATTAGTACATTTTAGAAAGGCATTAGCAGAGCATTTTTTCCACTTAATTTTTAATTAAGGGTGAATAATTAAAGAAGGGAAATATTTTTTTAAAAAAAACCTCTGAAAGTATTATGGTTTTAGGCAAATACCTTAGAAGAACATTTTTATTTATTTATTTATTTATTTATTTTATTTTATTTATTTATTGAATTTATATTGCCGCCTCTTCACCCATGGCGACTCATCATGCCAGTTTATCATCTCTTGATTCACCTTGTTTCTTAGGACATAATAGGGCATTATGAATTTCTAATGATAAAAGAAATAATCAAAACCCATTCAAATTTTACAAAATGCTAAAGGTAGACACTATTGTATCAAAATATCTGTATTAATTCAAATTTTACAGTAATATCTCCTTTGAATCCTAGTGTCATATGGAAATGGCTTAAATTGGTTACAGTAATACATTCTCCCACAAACCCTGATAGCATTTTTACTAAATGCTATCTTCTTTCATTCTTTTTTGTTTCTTTGCTGAATTTATATAGCTACCCATCTCACATATGTGACTCAGTTTACCTTTTTAACAATTCAGGTAAAAATAATAAACAAGAAACAAACAGAAATAAGTAAGCAAAACAAGAAATCAATTAAAACCAATAAAACAATAAGAAATAAAATAATAAAACTCTGTCTGCCAGAGTGTGCAATCCATACCTGACAGACAACACAACTAATTCACAGGCCCTACATCTCCACCAGTGTCAGGTTTCAACGTTTCGAAGCTGACAACCAGTTTCCCAGGCCCATGGCAGAGCCATATTTAAAAAGCTTCCAAAAGATTAATAGGATCAGGGCCAGTTGGGAGGGGGATGTTGTTCCAAACAGCAGGTGCCTTGTTTTTTATTTTTTAAAAAAAACAAGTGCTAAATATTATGATCTTTGTTACAAATTGAAAATGTGTATGATATATTTGTCTGAAAATCCTAAACAAAATTCAAGAGAAATTAGCTATTTACAGGAAAGTGATGATAGAAATAACAATGGAGTTTTAAATACTATTTATCAATCCTGCATTGTAGAGTGCAATTCAGAATGGAAGCTGTAAACTTGACCATGGACAATATCATTGAGAAGTAAAAAACAAAAACAAACCTATGGTGATGATCCTGCTTGGAATCTCCCCTACAGTGCCAGTTCAGTGCCCAAATCAATTTCTTCAATCTTGTCATGTAAAAATGGGTGATGTGTCCTATTACTCTCAACATATATTCTGCATGATCCTTTAACTCAAAGGTAAGCCTATTTTGATCTTTTAAAATGTTATGCTCATTTCAGGAACAACATGCATAACTAAAAGGATACACTAATCCAAGTATGCGTCTCATCTTAAATATATAGAATTCTTTATAGAATAGAATTCTTTATTGGCCAAGTGTGATTGGACACACAAGGAATTGTCTTAGGTGTATATGCTCTCAGTGTACATAAGGAGAATAAAATACATTCATAAAGAATAAAAAGATACAACACTTAGTGATAGATAAGGTTACTAATAAGCTATCAAATCCTACTAGGAAACAAATAAAAACAATATAATTGAAAGATATAAGCAACATGGTTATAGTAATAAGTGGGAAGAGATAGATACTAGTAAGGAAGAGAAGAATAATAGTAATATAATCTTAGTAAATTATTTGACAAGTGTTGTGGGGATTAGTTGTTAAGCAGATTGATGGCATTCAGGAAAAAACTGTCTTTGTGTCTAGTTGTTTTGTTTTGGTGTGCAGTGTCCTATAGCATCTTTTTGAGAATAGAAGTTGAAACAATTTATGTCCAGGATGTGAGGGGTCTGTAGATATTTTCACAGCCCTCTTTTTGACCGGTATACAGATTGGTATACAGATCCTCAATGGAAGAAAGGTTGGTGGCAATTGTTTTTTCTGCAGTTCTAATTATCCGTTGACGTCTGTGTCGGTCTTGTTGGATTGTAGGATATTCTGACTGTTTTGAGAGGCTACTAAAGGAATGGATTCCAATGGACACCCTTCTGCTCCTGATTACTGCAAGGATTTCCAATACATCATTCATGCTCACAAAACTACCATATCTGGATTACTAACAGATAGTGGATACAGAAGGCTTTTCTTCCTTTTTGGCTCATCAAAAAGTTTTTCCCAAATTAGGGGGGGAAAGGAAGGGAAAGAGCATTGCGATTTTTTCTTTTAATATTATCTTTATTGAAGTTTTAAACAAATGCAATCTAGTAAGAACAAGAATAGCAAATCAAATTCAATTCTTATTGAGTTCAACTCTTAAAGAGTTATAAGAAACTAATCGCAGAATTATAAATCAAAAACGGAAAAAAGAACAGGCAGACTACAGAAGAAATCAAAAATAAAACAGGAAATTATAAACGAGAGGGAAAAAGCCAAGTGTACGATAACACAATACAGTTCAAACGTTGAGATCTCAAAGCACTAATATTACATTCATGATTGTCCTTGCAAGAATGAAAGTATCGCTTCCAGCTCCTCTCCTGGTGCCACTACGGTACTCAGACTACAATTCCCAGAATGCCACACTAACCCATATCGTTTTCGAGGGAGGCCCTCACCTCATCGGCTGACTACCCTCCCAAAAGTCTTTGCGCTGCTGTCGCCATTGTCGAACGCTTTAAACCGCGTCCCTACGAAAAGCATGCTGGGAATTATAGTCCCGGGCTCAAAGAATCATACCCTATTTTGTCGCTATTTCTTTTAAGCATAATTTCGTCTCAATGCCTACTCCTCTCTCAAAGTCTCTATTTATCAAATAAAATAAAAATAAAGTCGGCCCGGATTTTACCTCAACGCAAGTTTCCCCGGAGTGATCCGTAGCCTATCTTAACTCTAGAGACAACAGCATTATGTATCCATAGCAACCACATTGTAGATTCTCGCGAGAACTCGGGTTCCTGAAGACTTTGTAAAAAAACCCCATGCCTTTGAAGTCCGATGAGGCCACGTGACCTCTTACAGGCTGGCTTGGAGCCTCATTCCGTTGTTAAAAGAGGGCGGAACTTCATTGTCAAGAATTGATCTTGTATTTAAATCGCAATTTATTGAGGCTGCATTTGAGCAAAGTAGTGTTAAAATGTCGGCTAGTAACACGATCTCGCCAACTGGATTCAATATCAGACTAGGATTAGTGCTTGGATGGACGGGGAGATTGCATTATACTTGTTTAGAATGGGAAAATTAAAACATTCTGAAAGAAACTGGTGAATCATTTCCAAGGATACTATAATTATGTAATCACAGGAGATTTAGCTAAACTTGAGGGCGTTTTTAATTTTGATAGGTTTAAATGTTTGTCATAAATCACAATACATGTTTTTAAAATGTACAAATACTGCAGGTAATACCATTTCGTCTGGTATACTTTGCAGTTTATTTAAGTTTCAGAAAACACACTAAAACTCAACTCCAAAAGTTGAATATAGTGATAGAAAATACATTCACAATATCAACTGTTTTCAAGTGAAGCAGTAGAAACAAGTACGCCAGCTATACGTAAATGAAAGCCAGTTCTATTTAACAGTAAAATTCTATGCAGTTGTAAATTTACAGCTAGCAAATAGTGGTTTTAAATGCTCAAGAGCTTAATTCTCATCTTTAACCAATCCACATCCTGAAAATACAGCATTCACCATATATACAGGGCCCTCTTGTGGCTTGCTAAAAGACATGCTTTAAAAACCCCACACAACTGAACTTGATTTAGCAATTAATCCCACCAAACCCAATCTATAGTTATTACAATGACAATACTTTACAGAATATACTAATATTTCTAGAGATCACTGCTTACATGCCATAAAGTTGTTGACTCTTAGTGACCACATAGATTTTAAACCTTATAAATGTGTAAAAACTAATTCCAATTGCAGAAAAATACCAGCACATTATCTCTATGGAGATTCTCAGTCATCCAGGTCATTATTGTCCCAAAGGTGCTTTTTCATGAGGCAACTGAACTTTCTGTTTTTTCTTTGAAGATGTTTCGCTTCTCATCCAAGAAGCTTCTTCAGCTCTGAACTGAGGAGTAGGAGTTCCTACTCCATCAATCTGCAATTGTGCTCTATTTGCCTGCCTGCAATCATGGCTGACTCAGAGTTTGTTTAACAGATTGAGAACTATAGATTGTTGAAACCATAATCCGAGATAACGGAGTTGGGTCTGAAACATCCTTTCTCCAAGATGAAAAAATAGAGGCCAGTTTACAAAAAATAAAAAGTTCCGTTCCCTTTTAGAAACATATTAAATGTTTCAGCACACTTAAATTTTATAAATAATATAAGCATACATTCAAATATACTCGTCGTCTTTTCAGAGAAACAGACTGAAACAGATCTAGTAATTGCTATCCTCTAAAAATGTTGAGATCTTAATCTTTCAAGTATGTGTATCTGTAAGCTGGGGAAGTTGTAATAAAAGTGCAAGAGAGTATACATATGGATGTAATATACAAAATACATAGTTCATTCAAGAATTCATTCTCAAGAACGTTACCAGAACAAATTCATGCACAGCATAACAATAAAGTGTAACACACATTTATCTGTTTTCCCCTTTGAATATAGTTAGTTTTATTATTAGATTTATATACCGCCCTACTCCCGAAGGACTAGTCCTGAAGGATTAGTTAGGACTAATGCAGATAGTATATTTTTGGTACTGTACTCTTAATATAAACTGTTTACTGTCCTTTATTCTGAATAGATGTGTATATTTTCACAGTACTTTGACAGAGGAGTTCAGCAAAACAGAATCCTTTGTACTTTTTAAACTTTGTTCTACCACTTAATTAAGAATATGAATGCAACAGCAAAAAAGAAAGTTATGTTATTCTACAGGGATATTTATATATGTAGCTATTCAAAGAATGTAACATTACCCTGAAAAACATTTCTTATTCTGTGATGAACGTAAAGACCCTCCATTTTATTGAGACAGATAATGTTTGCATAAATAGCATTAAGACAATTTCAGTCATGTCCAGCATTCATTTAATGAAATAATTCTGTTTACACTGAAGGTTGAAATAGTGTTAATTACACTGGCCATTTCCACTGGTTTTCTGGAGGTTCTTCAATTAAAGGTTCCCAAGGACGGTATTTCAACATTTTCTTGGCTAAGGAAAGTTCATTTTCAGCCTGTTGACAAAATATAGACTTTATTTTAAAATTCTCTGAAAGATGGCACTCCAAAACTAATTTGCATACATAAGAGTTACTTTCCCAAATCAAAGAGAACTTAAAATACCAGATCTCATTATGATGGTTAGCATAGATTGGTACCACATTTTTCTTTTATGTTTTAACTAGTTGCATTTTATAGTTTTAAAATAATTTTAAAATGATTTTATATGTTTTTTAAATCTTTGTTTGGAAGCCGCGCAGAATTGGCTGAAAGATGGGTGGCTATAACTTTTGAATAAATAAATAAAATTAAATTAAATTACAGTTTGTATAGGAAAAAAGAATTGCCAGGCCACACTATTAAGTTTACAAATTCAGTTTAGTGGACATTCTCCCAAAGCTTCTATACCTGATATACTAAATCATTGCTAAATACCTGCAGAATCACTTCTTCTATCTGTCCAGAGTTTAGTTTGTTTTCCAGCCTTTGTACATTAGGTTCCTGCAAATAAATTCAAAAATAAATGAGAAACTCTGGTACAGCATATTCCACTATCTCGGTGTTTCTCAACCTCAGCAACTTTTAAGACATGTGGACTTCAACTGTCTGGGAAATTCTGGGAGTTGAAATCCATATATCATAAAGTTGCCAAGATTCAGAAAAACGGCTTTGTTACTGAATGAAGAATATTCAGAATACTGGCTAACACTGTAATTCTGCCTTCTCAGAATAAGTAAAAGAAAAGCTACAGATTCTGGCCTTATTCATACATCTTTTCAATTAGCAACAGATCATCATCTTAGATATGTCACTTTTAAAAAATTAAAATACTGTTATTGCTATTTAACTTATTAAATACGAAAAATAAAAGTTATAGAACGGTAACTCAACAGAAATGGAGGTTTTTGATCCTGTTATTTTGATCAGGAGTTGTTAAATTATGACTGCTATATTTTATCATAGTTCCATATTTTGATTTTTGATATATTTGTGGGAATACTCAGCTATTTCTAAACAACTCAAGTTATGCAGCCAAATGTAATTGAAGCAACGCAAGATCGATATAGAATTTATGTTGCTATCCTATACCTACTGGACTAAAATTTATAAACAATAATCAAATAGTTAATATTTAGGATTGACTGTGCTTGTTGGAAATAAAGTATTTATTAATACATATCTCTTTCCAAACACACACACACACATCCTGTATTTGCTGAAATAAAGTTGAATTTAAAGTCACCTTTTGAGCCTGGAAGCTATGTTGGGTGAGGCTAGTATTTGAAGGGGAAATAATCAATATCAGAATAATAGACTATTCTAGGGATTACACTGGCACATCTATCAAGTCAGCAAAAGTCAAGTTCCTTTGAAAAAGACTGTTTCCCATCAAATGGACACACACTCACACAACTAAATAACATTTCTTCAAAATATTAAATATTCCCTTCATGTCAACCCCGGTTTGCCTGCTCCAACTGAAATAAATCTTGGAAATTTTCCCCTCATCAAAAAATATGGACTCATGCCACATATCCATGTATACAAGAAGTTATATAAAAGGAAAAAAATCTCAAAAAGGAGATAGAGTTATTTAAATAAGATGTAATTATTTTCTCTCCTATACACTAGACATTTATCTCACATAATCCATTCTTGCACAAAAACATACAAATATGTGCATGTATGTTCCTCATTTTTTTTCATGCAGAAACAGCAAAAGTAGGGGAAAACATGATGGAGAAGGGATAAGGGATTAATAGCAGCCAATTTTCAGGCTCAACTTTAAAGTACCAATGTTTTTCAGACTATCTGCAATCATATGGGCTCCCTGCCCATACTTTTGTTTTCAATCATTTATTCTGTTTTCATCAGAAATTTCACATGTGATTATCTGGGGAAAAAAGCTTGTTTCCTTACAGAAATTGAGAACTTAAATCCTATCTGATCATTAAGAAACCTAGTTAACTGAAATAGTAATATAAACCATAATTAAGAAACACATCTAAATAGCAGTATCAAAAATTATCATTTGATAAGTGCAATTTGACAAAAGAAAAGTCAATGAATTCAATTTATACTTACTGCTTTCACTATATCAAACCGTTCATTTGTAAGTTTCTCTGTATATTTCCTATATGCTGCATCCTGAGGCATACTCTCTAAAATACCCAGAATTTTTGTGTATAGTATCTTGAGGCGCTGAAAAGATCACATGGCACAGAGCAAAGAGTAATTTTAAGTCAGGCAAAGTGAATATATTGAATGTAAGCTACTGCAAGATTTTAAAATCTAATGAAATTTGGTAAATTAATGTACTGCAAATTAAAACAAAAAAATGATTCAGTGATTGTACTTAGAAAAGGAGTTCTACCACAAAACTTTCCAGTGAAGTTATAGCAAGTACATTCAAGGCACATTAAATTTGAGGAACTGCTTCACACAAACGTTTTCTTTTCATAAATCCAAAAATGTTAATTCAGCCATGTATTTGCTTTTTTTAATGTTCGATTATAAGAACTTTCCAAATCAAATGTGTCTATTTTTCTTACCCACTGAATATTTTCGTACGATTATACTATATCTTTCCTTGTGCACTCTTTAGATTTTATCCAATCATCCCTCATCCTTCAGATACAATTTATATTTAAATTAACAATTCTAAGATATCCTAAACCTCTAATGCAGGGGTGTCAAACTCGATTTCATTGAGGGCCGCATCAAGCTTGTGTTTGACCTCAGGGGTCTGGAATGGGCATGGCCAGCATGACATCACTCGTGTCGGGGGCATCTGTGGTGGTCTGAGCGCTCTGCCAGCGAAAATGGGCTCCAGAACTCCATTTTTGGCTGGGACAGCCTCCTGCAACTCTCTGACAGTGAAAACGGAACTCAGGAGGGCTGCATGCAGCCCTTACAAGGTCCATTTTTGCTGGCAGAGGCACTGCAGGCCAGCCCTTCACTGTTTCTAGAGTGGCCCCGCAGGCCAGATCTGGCCCCTGGGTCTTGAGTTTGATACCCCTGTTCTAATGTGATTGGATGAGACAAGACCATTATGAATAAAATCAATCGACTTTACAGAAAAGGGAATTCCAATATACGTCCAGACCCAGTTAATGACCCAACAAAATAACTTTATCACTTCACTGAAACATGGAAAAGTGGGCTTCAACTCTGAGTTACAAATATTCTCCTTTATTGGTACATGGCAAAGTATATTATACTTACTTCATGTGGATTGTTACATACAGCTAATCCTACAAGCCCAGTAGTCTGTAGGTATGAAGAAACATATATTAAGTTGAGCAGCAGTCTAAATCAAGATATCAGATTTATTGATCAATTCATTTGCATATGGTTAAATCTGCATATGTAAAGCATGTTATTTATGGATATTATATACTTATGAAGTTAAGGTACATTTAAAAAAATACAAGAAGCAAAACAAAACACAGATAAAAGAAAAAGAAAACATAATAAAAGTCAAAAACTTATGCCAGGCGTTTGAGCCTGAGAATGTACCATTATAGAGAAAAGCTGAGATTTTTAGCGTACTAAGCAAAAAAACATTTAAATCAAAAGTGTAAAAATTCCTCAATAATTTTAGCTTAGAGAGTCATGTGGATTAACTACTTTCTATGTCCATAAGAAATAGTTATCCAGAGGTATTAATGCAATTACAGGGAGTAGCTGTAGACAGCATAAAGGTCTGGATTCCAAGTGGGCTAGAATGCCCCATCTAAAGGAGTCCTCTGTGCCTAAAGGAATGGATGTAAAGTGATGCCGCTACTGGGCATCTTTATAGGCCACATATTTCCCTTTCTTTGAGCAAAAGGTAAAGGATGTACCTGTGAACCAATAAAATAATTGACAATAGAAAAATGACACTGGCTGCAAATAGCAGATTGAAAAACAAGTCATCTCTATGTTTGCACCTCTGTGTGCACACAAAGAACATTTCTCTTCAAAACATGCAAAAACATGCAATTATTTATTTATTTATTTATTATTTGAATTTATATGCCGCCCTATCTCCGAAAGGACTCAGGGCGGCTCACAACAATAAAACACACAAAGTTCAATTTTTAAAAAAATACCCAATAAAACTATAAAAACCATTAAAATCCCCTCTAAAATCCCCTCAGCCAAATTATTTAATTCGTTTTAATCTATTTTAAATTTTGTATTTATATGTTTTATTCTATGGCTGTTCACTGCCCTGAGTCCTTCGGGAGTAGGGCGATATACAAATTCAATAAAATAAATAAAATAAATAAAACCCCTTCAGTCCAAGCCGGCCAGGTGGAATAGCCATGTTTTAAGGCCACGGCGGAAAGAGCGAAGGTCAGGGGCCACCCGGAGCCCCAGAGGGAGCTGATTCCACAGGGTAGGTGCACCCACAGAGAAGGCCTGCTCCCTAGGGGTCGCCAGCCGACATTGTCTGGCTGATGGCACCCCAAGGAGGCCCTCCCTGTGGGAACACACCGGGCGATGGGGAGCAGTCACTGGCCGCAGATGGTCCGCCAAATACCCTGGGCCTAAGCCATGTAGGGCTTTATAGGTGATTAATTAGAACATGTCTCAGCATAGTTGTGAAATTGTGAAAACTACACCATTTACAGAAGTATCCGGTCAAAATAAGATGCAATGATAAACTTAAGATAAGATATTCTGCATTCCTTTAAGGCAGTGGTTTCCAACCTTCCCGTGGAGAAAGGTTTTTCCGTGGACTGGAGGAGGCGTGGTTT